AGGTGGAGGTGGAGGAGCTGGTGGTGGAGGAGGCGGTGGGAAACATGGGTCAGAAGATCTCAGGTCATCAGTGCCTTGAATTCCTAGAGCCTATCTTTTAAAATGCAGCTATGATGTTGGTACCTAATACGTGTTGAGTGGATGTGCCAGGCATTACTGCCCAGGTGCTTTTCACCTAATGCCCTGTAAAGTGCTCCAAGCATTTAGAGGTAAATTGTATCACTGCCATTTTATATGTAGGGAAATTAAAGCCCAGAGAGTGATGGAACTCGTCCAAGGTCACACAGTTAGTAGGTGACAGAGTCAAGACTTAACCAGCAGGTCCATGACTCCACTTCTAAATCACTTTCTTTTATTATTATTATTATTATTATTATTATTATTATTATTAAATTGAAGTATAGTTGATTTACAATATTGTGTTAGTTTCTGGTGTACAGCAGCATTATGTGCAATAGCCAAGACATGGAAGCAACCTAAATGTCTATCAACAGATGACTGGACAGAGAAGATGTGGGGTATAAATACAATGGAATATTACTCAGCCAAGTCCCTTTCTGTTCACTGTGCTGCTTAGCGAATCACGACCCAGGAAGGGTTAGAACCCTTGGGAGGACTCTCAGCCATCCAAGGGCTAGTCTCTGACCCACACTGAATGTCGGGCTCTGATCTCCTGCCTTTTCTCTTAGGTCCTGAAGCTGCTGCTCGTGGCCTGGGATCGCCGCCTCATCTTTGCCATCGGTACGTCCAGCACCACGGGCGAGTCAGATACCGTCATCTGGAATGAGGTCCATCACAAGACAGAGTTTGGCTCTAATCTCACTGGCCATGGCTACCCAGATGCCAATTACCTGGATAATGTGCTGGCTGAACTGGCCGCCCAGGGCATTTCTGAGGACAGTGCTGCCCAGGAGAAAGACTGAGTTGGCGGGGCTTTGGGGTGGGAGGGGCCGCGGGGACCACAGGGCCAGAAGTGGGGAGAGTCAAGATGGAAGTGAGTGCCGTGCCCTCCTGGCTCCCTTGTCTCCCCTCTTGCCCTGCCTCCATCCCCCCATCCCTCGGCCACAGAGGGGAGCTAGATTGAATAAGATGGTGTCATTCACAAACCTCATCCAACACCAAGGGGACATGGGGTGAGGGCCATCCTCGGTCTGTTCCCATGGAGTTTTCGGTGCTGGGTAGGCAGGAAGCCCCTCGTCCCCCGAAGCAGGGGCATGGTCAGCACACCTGGGGCGTGGGCACTCCACACCCTGGCCTTGTGAAGCTGGAGGTTCAGTGCCTCCGCTGGCTTCCTGCTGCTTCCACTCTGCTTTGAGAGCGGAGTTTCTGCTTTTCTCTCCTCCGCTGGAGGTGAGAATCTCTCACTGTGCAAGATAAGGGTGGGCAAAGGGGTGAACCGTGAAACTGCTGTGACATCAGAAGTCGATGCCTCTGTGGACAGCGAGGGAGCACTTCTTGCCAAGAGGGTCCGGGCAGCCGGGCTTCTGGGAGCATGGTCAGCTCTCATCACAGTCCTGGCTCCCTGGGGCCCTCCCTCTTCCTCACACCTTTGACCTGTCCAAAGAGGCATCTGATTCTCTTGTGTGAATGGATGGACTCTGGGATTCCTCTCTGGGGCGGCATCCCCTGATGTTTCCAGCCCCTATCTGATCAGACCAGAGCCTGCATCCACTTAGCATCTGAACTGTCCTCAGGGAGAGGATCCCATAGCCTTCTTCCCAGCTCATCCCAGACCAGCGCAAAGATTCCATGAGTTTCATCAAGTCACTGTGAGTGGAGCCCAGGCTGGGCTCTGTGCCATCTGTGTATGTGCGTATACATGTGCGTACGTGTGTGTGCGTGTGCACGCCGCTGGCCCAGGTTGGTGGAGAGTCCCATCGTGTTTTCACGCTCTGTTTTGCAAGATGTCAAACCTCAGTTCTGATGGGGATGAAACAGCCAGGCTGTGGTCCCTTGACCTGCCTCACCCTTTGCCAACCCATCCCATTGTAAACTTGGACACAGCCAGAGACTTGGGGAGAGGTGGAAGGTGAGGGCTGGACTGACCCCTTTTTCTGCCTCTTTCAAGATCGGCTCCGAGCCAGTCTCCATCCAGTCTTGTTGCTACGAGGGCTTCAGTCTGTCTCCTCGAGCATTTGCTAATCAGAGCCTGGAGCTGGTGCTGAGCCCCCTCATCACCTTCACTGATCACAGGCCGACCCAGAGTGTGAGGGAGACTAGCTCATCCCCAACAGGGGTGGGACCACATTACGTTCCAGTCCATCCTGCTTCTGGGTTGCATCCCAGGACCCTGTCTGATTCTTCTCCGACATTCCTCTTACCTTCATCTCCCTCTAATGAAGGAACTGGGGGTCAGGGCGCAGAGAAGGAGGATCAAAGAAGGGAAACCCAAGTCTCCCTTTGAAAGTGGGTTCTTTGAACTACGTGTTTGGGGGAAGTTCCTCTGGATATCAATTTGAATTTATATACCTCATGTTTGGGGGGTTTGACGTATATATATATATATGCATATATCTAAATAATATTTGGAAGGTTTTGGATGCTAGAAAAATGGAAACAAAAGAACTTTCCAAAATGGTACTTATGTTATTCTGAGAGCCGGCTCCTGTTGGCATTCCTGTGGCCAGTGGGTTCCCAAGTGTTACCTAGCCCCTGGAAGCAGGCTGAGCTTCCTCCTTTAACAAATGGCCCTGGGGATGTTGATCAGCTATGGCAGAGGGTGCTCTGGCAGGAGGAATTGTTCCTGTAGTATTGGTTCCGGCCACTTCTACCAGACGGCAGCCATTTAACTCACCAGCAGACCAGGAGGTTAGACTGAGTGTTCACCGCACTAGGGGTCAGTTTCCTGCCACAGTCAGGAAGGAAACACCCGAACTCAGTGGAAGAGACATCCCTGCTGTGTTTAATGCCAAGCCCATGCCCTCTGCCAGGCTACCATGTGCCAGAGATGCTGGAGAGCCCCTCTGTAAGCTTGGTACCATCCCCACCTTCACTCAGCATCCTCGCCAAGGACCCACTGGCCTCCTCACTCACAGGAGATAAGGAAACAGATTGAAGGTCAGTGGATAGACACAGAGCTGTGCAGTAGGAGGTGGGGAAAGGAAGGAGAATGCCTTGACAACTGGCAGTGGGCAATGGGGAGAGACTGGTTTCCCCGCTGCAGGCAGAAGAAGGTGTGGGTGGAGAAGAGATCTGCCAAGAGCAGAAGGAAGAGGACGCAGGGAATGCGTCGGGCAAGCATTGTGCCGGGGGCAGTACCACTTTGAGAGTTAGTCTTCATACCTTCAAGCCTTTCCCCCTAGGATGCTGGTAGTATCGGTGCCCCGTGTCTCTTCCTCTCTGAGGATGCTCGGTAGGGGCTGCCTCATCCTCATGCTGCTCTTCTTGGGGGTAGGACCTTCTGGGCAGAATGGGATCTTGGATTTCCTTTCTAACACTGTGCCAGGCAAGGCGGGGGGCATTCCTTCGCTCGCTCGCTCTCTCATGCCAGCCTGGAAAGGTAGTCTCGGGTTCGGTGAGAACCCTACCAGCAGAGGCTCTGTGCATCCCCCACTCTGACACGGGATGCTCTCCCACCGGAAGCCCTGCTGTGTTCCCCGCCCATGCAGGGACGCCCATGCCTTTCCTTTCATCGTCTTAAGCACCAGCAGCCTAGTTCCCCTTTCCTGAGTCTCCAGGGGTGACACGTGGGATTGGAGACAAACCTTGTTATAGGCTCATCCCTGAAAAGATGAACTGTGTATGTGTAGTTGCATGTGCCTTTGTGTTTTCATCCCCCCACCCCTTCCCCCTTTTGTAAAACTTGTACTTCTCTGTGGTTTTATACTTGGTCGAAAGTACTCGTCCTGGTATTGCACTGTTTGGGCATGAAAGGATTGGAGGAAGGTCCCGTGTGGTACAAGAAAGGGCCTTGTCCTCTTTGCTTGTCTGTGGTCACTGGCATTTGATGGGGAGCGGGGAGGGGTTGGTTCTGGGAGAGGGCAGGTGAATGTCCTAATGTGAATCTTTGTAACTGGTGTGTTTTGAGGTCCTTGCTGTGGCTCTGTGGGAGGACATCGCCACCTGGTGCTCATGAGGTGTATGTGCAGAACAATAAATGGCAAATGAACAACCACAAACTGCCGTTGTTGCTAACCTGCTTTCTGTAGATCGGTGCACCTACCTGGCAGGCATCGGGGTACTTCCCCGAGTCAGCAAGCAACCACAAGTCCTTCCGCTGAGTGGAAGAGTCCCTTCTTCTAATTTTCTTTCACCTTTTTTCTACCCACACATTTAACCAAGTAACCTGGCTTGACTTCTTGTTCCTCTAAAGAAACATACCATGTGGCAAGGGGGAAATGCAAGTGAAACTGTAGGGGAAAGACCATCTTAAAAACCATGAATGTTTGCTTCTTAAAGTTCTCTTCACCTGACGACAATATCCTGTATGTTTCAATAGTTTACAGGCTGTTGTTTTTCAAACACATGTTTAATATTGATCATCCTGATACTAATGAGAACACAGAAATAAAATGCACTTGCAAAGCCTCGTTTGTCACCCAAATGCATCTCTGTTCCTGAAAGTCTACGGAGTGTGGTTTTCTTGGAAGCCCGGATTTGTCTTGGGCAGACCCCAGCCCGAGCGACACGGTCAGGAAAGCGGGACTCAGAAAGCAGACGCTGTGAACTCCCTCATCGGGGTTCTGACTGTGCAAAATGACTTGATGAATGTCAACCGCAAACCCTGTGCTTCTGGTTTCCTATGGATGAACAGTCAGACGGAGCGTCCCTCAAGTACACGTTTTAATGCATATTTATGTGCAATGTTGTTAGAAATACAAGTTTGTGAAGAGCTCTCTGTTTCAATGGGCAGTTAGCGCATTAAAAGCCTGGGAGCTTATAGATATACTTTGTCTCTCTGACTCAGTGGTCTTCAAAGATCTCATGGGGAAGTAAGTCAGCATTGGCAGGAAAGTGGTTAGCTTGGCTAAAACATACCCACAAAACACCCAGAGGTTAAGGTTAAGTTTTAATGCTTAAGAAGAAGCAGGGATAAGTTGAGAGGTTGCAGAAATCAGTGTTCCCGGCTGGGAGCAGGGCTCAAATTTTGTGAATCACTTCTCTGTATCGCAGTGGGAGATGGATGAGTAAACCTCCCATCTTCCCGCAGGCGGGGATGCTTCAGGGTCCTCAGAAGAAGGACCTAGGAGAACATTCTTGATGGTGAATGTTAATGAAGAAAGGACAGATTATCTAATGACATTTGATTTGGTGAAGAACTATGTAACTTTTTAAAGTGTTGTGGAGGAACATTAATAGATTCACCCTAATTGTTACAATTAGGTGAGGCAGTTATTAAAACTGGGCAAAGCCTCGAATGCCAAGTAACAGCCATGCATCCTGCTAGATGTCCCAGGGAGGTCAGCCTGGAACTGAAATAAAGGCGTCACAAGTGATGTCGGATGCCTTTTTTGCTTCATGTAAAATTATTGATTTGATCATGTCAGTCCCCTTTCTGCTGGAAAAAAAAAAGGCAGGGTACATAATTGGTAAAAATACTTCAACCTTCACTGTTGAGGTTTTGGGGAGGAAGGGGTGCCTAAGTGTGGGTTTACTTTGACTTCTTGGAGTTTTCCTTGTATCCCACTCCCAGAAAAATGCACGCCTCTTGTTGGAATGTGGGGGTGTGTAGGCGTGTGTGTGTGTTCAGGAGTGTGTGTGCACGGGATGGGAGGGTGGAGAGGGGAGCGGCCATCCACGGAGGAGGAGGGCTTTGTACCTTGGTAACAGAACATGAAATAGTAATGCCTGATATACCCAAAGCTGTAGCTGCTCCCTTTGCCCCATTTACGATGAGCTAAGGGGACGAAACCAGGGAACTGGTTGTGGGTAAGAATTCCTATCTCCCACGAGCACCAGAATCTTTTCCAGTTTTCACCATTTCTTCACTCATTCCTTGTCTCCAAACCATCCCTTCTCCCTTGACCTCCTAATAGAAGTTCATATGCTGTATTAATATTTTCTGAGGACTTTGTGATACTAGTATGAAGTCCAAGAGGGGCCTCGTCTAAGTAAGTCTTAACTGTGGAGAAGCTGGACCAGGTGGCTTGGAATAGGCACCATCTCTCCCTTCGGCTGATGCTGAGATGACCCA